CGTCCGTCCGCTCCACAAGCACGGGCACTACATGAGCTCTTCTCCTCTGCTCGTACGTCTGCGCAACCAAGTCCCCACAGTCGTGCACACGTAGATACCAACACATGCGCAGGCATCTGCACAAACGCACACCCATACACATGCACATGCTAACACGCATGCACGCGCACACACACACACACTCACACACACACACACACACGCACACGCACGCGCGCGCACACACACAGCAGCAGGCTCACTCGCGCGTCTTGGTGTCGATCCTCTGGCAGATGGCCATGGCGATGAGGCTCGACTTACCCGTCCCGGATTGGGCCTGGCGGGGGCCGCGTCAAGGGATATGACTGAATGCGGGCACAGGTGGTGCACAGGGGTGGCTGCAAGCGCGCCGATGCGGCGGCCTCGCCTCGGCAGTGCTTAGACACGCCCAAAGCATAAACAAGCATATGTGTGGTGATCAAGCGCAGCTCCTGATCGCCAGCAAGCAATCGCAGCGGGCACCTCTGGGGGTGAGGCGCCCCCCCCCCCTTCTCACACACACCTGCGCGATGACGTCACGGCCCTGGCAGATGGGCAGCATGGCGCGCTGCTGGATGGCGGAGGGCTTCTCAAAGCCGTAGTTGTAGATGCCGCGCAGCAGGTCCTCCCTGTATGGTTTGCGAGGTGGGGACAGGGGGGTTTTGCATGATCCAGTGGGTGGAGGCGGGCGCAAGATGCGTGCGCGAGCGCCTCGGCAAGGCTGGGGGCCGCAGAGCATGAGCGCGCCGCGGCGGCAGCGGTAGCGCGACGGGCGGCTCGGCCCCCCGTTGGCGTCTGCCGGCGGGGGCGCCGCCGCGGCTGCCTGCTGTCCCGCTGCGCGCTCCTCCTCTGCCGCCGCCAGACGCTCGCGGCGCTCTGCCCTCCTCTGCTGCACCCAGTAGGCCTCCTCTGAAGACCAGGGGCCCACGTCCCCCCCATACGCCCAACCACTCCCCATAGCACCCAGCTATAGCAAAAGCGCTCGGCCGGGCGCTGCGGCGGCCCAGCGCCCCGCATGGCTCCGCGCCCCGCGACGGGGCTGATGCCGGCCGCCGGCCGCACCTCAGGCCCATGTCGTCGAACGACTTGACGGCCCGCACGCCCTTGGACGTGGTGATGGTGACGCCCTCCTGCTCGTCATACATGTCCTCGTCAACGCCGCCGCCGTTGCCGCCGCCGCCGCCGCGGTCTCCCCCGCGACCGCGGTCCCGATCGCCCCTGTGAGCCGGGGCGCGCGCGAGCGTGGGCACGCGCGTTGCGTGTGCGTGCCGCCACGCCTGCAAACGGCCGCCCTCAGCCCAATGGGCAAGCGCCCTGCAAGCTCTTGCTGATCAAACACCTGGCATGACAGGCGCCTGCGCCCACATCGGTCTGCTGCGCGGATCGACAGAGCGGTGAAGCGCGGACGAACAAGCGCGGACGCATGCCGCCGTGCGTGGCCGCGGTTCGCGCCAGCTGGGCCACACTGCATCAAAACACCTGTATGCTACTTTCACGCGCGAAGAAACAAGACGGGCACACTCTGGCTGCAAGAACGCACCTGCGCCCGCTCATGGTGCTCTTGGTGGCGGAAGGGAGGCTCCGCTCCGCGCGCTTTACTACGAAGATGAACGTGCTCTGTGAGACTATCAGGACCTGTACCTCTGCTTCGCCACGGACGGCTCCGAGATCACCCGCGGACTCCCAAGCTTAGTCGCGCTTCTGAGCAATGACGTGTGGAAATTCGACGTTTGAGCAGACACAGTTCAGAAACAGTGGTTGTGGGGGGTCGTGGTCTTCAGTTGGAGCCCCCGTGGTGACGCCCGGATGCACTTGCGGCACCCGCCGCATGCGCTCTCTTACAGCCTGCTTACAGCCGCGCTCCGCTGCGCGGGACCAGGAGCTGTGATGGGGATGAACAGTGACATGAACGTTTCATGCAGCCGCAAATACCGCAAGGCATATGCAGTCCGTCTTGTGGACTTACAGCCCCTCGTTTGCACGCGTGGACAAATGCTGCCATCATGTGGTGGTGGTGATGAGTGTACAGTACTTGTCACACCGTCTGTCGGCGTTGCTGATGCTTTGGTCTCAGAGGCTTCCTGCAACTTTAAATCATGGAAAGAGGCAAAGCCAAGTGATCAGCGGCTCCAGGTGGAATGATTCACTCAAGCTCTACTTTCGGCAAGAAATACCCTGGCACGCTTTATTTGCTGACCGCAAATGCTTGTTGGCTGCTGTTTGCTGCGTGCATCCCGCATCTTAAGGGCAGTCTTAAACTCATGCTATCCACCTCCTCCGACTGCTCGCGCCATGGTCCATGCGCAGCTGAGCTGCCTGGATGTGGTTTCCCTGACATATGACTGTTTGGGGTACAGGTGACCTTGTCATCCTTGAACCTGGTGACAGTGCAGCAGATCAATGCGCTTTGCTGAGCTCTAGCCGTGGCGCCCGGTTGGAGCACAGCAGGGGTGCTGCCCTCGTCCTGCGCTCCTGCAGCCCAGTCAGCAAACGCTCACCCCTGTGTTGCATCGCTAACGGGTCCCAGCACACACTCAGGCCGCAAACTGAATACAACGCATCACAGTACCACATCTTAGCCTAAGGAAGTCCACCCAAGCTCCAGCCCGCACCACGCGGCGCCTCCGCGGCTTCCTTGTCGGCCGGGCGACCTTGGTGCGCCGCGTGCTCTTCGTGCTCCCTCTCTGCCAGCGATTGGTACCGCTGTTTCTTGCTAAACAGGTGCGCTGTTAGTCCTGGAACGCGCCTGGCCGCCGAGGCCGTGAGCAAGGGCAGCAGCAGGGCAAGCCTGGCGCTCCTTTGCGTGTACCAGACCGGAGCGAATCATAGCATTTTAGACCGCCGTCACGCGCAGCAGTGGCCTCCGCGGCAGGGCAGATCGCCAGCGAGCCTCCTCGCCGGCCTTTGCCAGCAGAGGCCTTGCGGTGCCTTTCAGGGCCTGGCGAATGTCCCACCCACTGATTGTGGGGCTTCAGGCAGTGCGACGGCTGCCGCTTGGGCGCAGTGATGCGCCTTGTGCGCGCACTCTGCTCAGCCGGTGCCGCACTCGCCGCGCACCGACGCCTGCCTTGCAGGGAACCAACAGCAACCATGAAGAACGACGAGGGCGAGGTGGTGGATCTGTACATCCCCAGGAAGTGGTGCGCGGCTGCTGCAAGCACAGGACGGGTGGCGCTGTGTTGTGCGCTCCAGGGGCAGCGCTGCTGGCTTCCAACCAGCCAAGCGCGCGCTGACAGGCAGCAGCAGCTGCAGCAGCAGGAGCAACGGCAGCAGTAGATTGCGCAGGAATGCTGCATGTGGGGTTGGCGCGCAGCATGCACAGCTTTTCTGCCGTCTCGCTAGGCAAACACAGCCCTGCACCACCTGCCCACCCTACCTTATGCCCGACTGCTGCCTGCTATCTTGAAGCGTGCCCTGCGACCTCTTCGCCCCCCGCAGCGCCTGGACCAACAAGCTGATCACGGCCAAGGACCACGCGTCCGTGCAGATCAACATCGGCCACCTGGACGGCGAGGGCGTCTACAGCGGCACCTTCACCACCTACGCGTTCTCGGGCGCCGTCAGGCAGCGGGTGAGGGGCCGCGGGGGGGCACCAACGAAGAGGCGGCGCCAGCCGCGCGTCGAGAGCCATGTGTTGATCGGTTGCAGCTGCTGTTGAATTAACACACAGCGTGCAATGACAGTTTAGTCCCCTCCGTGACCCGCCTGCGGCGGCGGCGGCAAAAGCCCTCGCATTGCTCACGGCTGACTCTGCTTACATCCCGCCATCGCCTGTCTGCCGTTTAGGGTGAGGGCGACAGCGCCCTGGACCTCCTGTGGAAGAAGAAGTCGGTGGAGGCCTGACCCTGCGGCAGCGCCGGCGGCCTCGGCCCGCGAGGAGACGTGCATGCGCCCTGCTCGCTGGTCGCGGCGTAGCCCTATGTAACGTCCTTGAATCGCGGCGCCTTGGGGCTCGGCACCCGATGCTACGGTCAGCCAAGTATGGAGAGCATGGCAGCGTGCGCAAGCAACCAGCTGCTAGAATCTAAGTGCTCGCCAGGCATGCGATGAGGCCGCAGACTGTTGCAAACGTGGCGGCTCTCTGCGGTCTGTCCCACCTTGTCACAATAGGCGTGAGTGTTGCTTGCCAGCCATCTGCTGCGCCAGGTCCAGGATTCTTGCCTTTCACGACGGCGGCAGGCGGGGTGTCGACACGCAATTTGCACCCGGTTGAGCAAAGCCAGGCCAGCGACCCATTCAAGCCACACCATTACATTTTAGACTGCGTAATGAGGTTGTCAGAGAACGTTTTCACATGAGCCGGGTCGTTCCAGCGTGCGGAGAACCCGCGACACCACAGCAGTGCGCCGTGTATAGACGACACGTTCCCATGGCACTGGCACTGCTAAAGGTGTTGTTGGTATCACTTGCGGTGGTGGCTGGAGCAACAGCAGTGGCAGCATCCCGTGCCGCTCCGTTTGCTATGCCCCCAGTCACCGCTGCTGTGCGAGCAGACAGGGCGGCGGCCACGGCGCAGCAGCTCGACGCATGTGGACTTACGCAAGATCCACGCAGCGGCGCCGCTACCATGGTGCTGCAAGTCCAAGAGGTGGGCTCGAAGAGGCTCAAGGGCGACAACGGGATCCCTCAAGTGCCTGCTGCGCCCATGCGCCACCTGGCGCGCTGCTGACGCGACCTCACCAGACGGTTTGCCCCGTCCCCCTCCTCCGCCCCAAACGGGAAACCCAGGGCATCTGCACAATCAGCAGCCGCCTGCTCGCCCCCGCGGCGCGGGGCAGCAAGAGCTGCGCCGCCGCCGAGGGGCGGCCTACCCTGCAGCTTGCCTTCCCCTGTGCGCTCAACAGCGGCACGCGCCCCCGCCTGTCTGGGCCCGCCCTCAACCTCTGGGTGGCCCCGACCAAGGATCCCATGGCCAATAACGGCAACGCCACGGCCACGTCGCGGGCCTTGAACAGCACGATGGGGCCACTAGCGGCAGATAACCGGACAGTCGTCGCAGGCAGCAGCAGCTGCTCTGTCACTACGCTGAGCCCGGCAATGTACTACAAGCAGCGCGCTGACCCGGCGCTCTACTACGGGTATTCAATCTCAAACCTGACCTGCAGCCGCCTCTCGGGCGCGCCGGTCAACGCAAGCGCAGCCATAGTCCGTGGGGGCCGAAGCACAGCGGTCAGTGCAGCAGACGAAGCGCTAGCGGCCGGCAGCGCGCTCGCGTCGTCGGCGGCAGGGGAGGGGCGGTTTGCGGCGTCGTATGGGCTGTGGCTCGTGCCCTCGCTTCCATCGGTGCGTCGAGCCTCGATGCGCCGCCCGAGCTCCCGTCTTTGCGCTGCGGCAGCGCTAGTTTTGCCCACGGCTGCATTCAACCGAGCGCTGTTAGGAAGGTCAAGCAAACTCTGCATGCGCGCCTTCAGCATTTACAATCCGTGCATGTCCTTGCAGTTTGTTGGCACAGGCATGCAAGTTTCGTCCAGAGCCAACGCTGAGCGCATCCTCCCCCTCCTCCGCCCCTGCTTCCCGGCAGCCGGCGCAGGGCGGCGCCCCCCAGACGTTCTCGACCGCCCCTCAGACCTGCCACCTGGCAGTTACCACCACCGGCCGTTCGTACCTGTCGACAGGCAGTTATCCATGCGCCATGGTGGTCAGCCCAGAGACGGCCCTCGGGCCTGGGTGCTGCTTTGGGTCGCCCTACCTTCGCCGACGACGGGCACTCACCTGGTTGCAGGCCGCAGCGAGGCTGCCTGCAACCCAGGCTGTGCAGATGCGAGTTTAGGATGTGGCAGCATTTTGTGAGGCGGTCGCCAATCTCTACGGCTCACGCTGCAGTCCATGATGCGGCCCGTGGGAGCCCCCTGAGTCCCTGAATGGACATGGGATGCCGCGATATGCACGGTTGAGTGCCGAGTTTTGTAAGCGAGCCCTTTGTGCGGCGGCCGCCAATCTGCAGTGGTGTGGCGCGCACTCTGGCGCATCGCCTGACCATCCGACTCTTCCTTGAGGCCAAATCGGGCGCCGCTTGAGAGTCGGCAACCCCGCGCCACGCAACCCAAATGGAATCTGTTTGTGGCTGTACCCGTCTTTTCGCAGCAGCGTTTTAGTCTTCCTCATTACGGTGGCTCAGCATAATGAGGTGCTGGTGGCACCCAATCTCATGGTGGTTGTCAATCAAGGAGCCCCAGGTGTGAATGAAGGTGCTTGGCACGCCGCCCTGCAATTGGGCAGCCACCTGCCTGGATGCAATCGTAATTTTCGTCTTCACCGCGTGCGCGCGCTTGTGTTGCTGCGCGCGCCGCAGCGAATAAGAACACAGCATCACACCGATACGTCACGACTTTGGTCTCGGCTTTGACGTGATACATTCTGACCAGCAGCCTGCAGAACCCAAGGCTGTCTGCGCAGACTCAAGTCGCCCTGTTTGGCAGCCTGCAGCTGCTGTAACACGAACACACATGCAAGGCATTGGCCGGCTGCCAGCGCGTTGCAGGCACATGGATCCCTTGAAAGGCGCCCTTTCTCGTGATTTCCACTGTGCCTGAGCATACGTTCAGCCGACCATGGCGTGGGCCCGGTGGGCGGCACTTGCCGGTCAGCTTTGGCGCCGTGCACCGGTCGGGTACCATCGAACAGCACTACTGCCGTGCCCACTGCAAGGCGGACAAAGCCTGGTGCTTACTGCGCATGCAGGTGGAGCAAACGCCGCTGGTGCGCTCATGTGTCGTGGAGGGGCGCGGACTGTGCAGGATGAGGTCACGACGACACTGCAGACGCGGACTGGCCCCTGAGCTAGCCGCGGCACAGCGCAGCACAGCAAGCTGCTGATTTAAGACGATCATCAACTTCCGTTAGCTCATGTTTTTGTGTGGGATTGGGCGCGGAAGCTCGAGCTTCGTCTGGCACGCAGTTGCGAGCGCCCGCAGTTCTTGGCAGATGATTTGCAGGCATCCATACTTAAGCCGACACACATCTCTACTCTCACAAACAAACTAGAGCCATATTTTAGAACCCATAGCACCCAAGCCTCCTCCTACCCCTATAGCACCCATCTCGCGCCCGCCACGACCACGTCCGCCCATCCCTCCATCTGCACGATGGCCCGAAAGCTGCAGCTCGTCGCGGCCCTCGTAGCCCTATGCCTCGCCGCGACGGCGACGGCCCGCCCACTCCTCCCCGCCGACCCCGACGCCGCGCCCGCGGGCGGCGAGCCTTCCCTGCAGCTCGACGTCTGCAACCTTAGCAACTCGCCTTCGATGGTTCTCACGGCCACCAGCGAGGTGTGCCGCCGCCGCGGCTGCGGCGTCACCGGGGGGAGGGGCCGCAGCTGCTGCAGCAGGGCCCAATCCGACAGCCGCGGCAGCCAACGCTCAAAGGGCGTGTGTGAAACCGGCGCCGGGGCGCATGCGAGAGACGAGTTCTCAGAGCAGCCGCTGCAATTGCGGAGCAGCTCCATAACCGCGTCCGCCCGCCGCCGACACCCGCATCCACAAC